ATCTGTTGGTTTTCCATGGGGGTTGGGGTGGGGAGAATGAGCAAAGACACTGGGTGGAGCCAGGCAAGATAAAATCCGGGAAAAGTAGTCCCACCAGATTTCCAGGCAGGTGATTGATGACTCAGTCGCTCAGTAAGCCAGGATGCCTACAACCTGCATGACACTCTCAGAACCAGGCATGGTGGCATACTCTGTAACACCAGCACTTGAGTTTGAAGCCAGCCTGGGCCACATGGCAAGATTAGCCTGGACTATGGAGAAGGAGCCTGTCTTAAAATTCAACAACACAAAGCAAAGCAAGGCAAAGAAAACAACAAGAACAAAAGATAAAACGCCAAACCCAACAACCAAACATAAGTCACGTGCTGGTCTGTAGTCTTATGGGAGAAGACGGAACAACAGGAGCCATGTCCCTTGGTCTGAAATTAATGTGTGAGTGATTTACATAATGCTTTTTTAAAATTAATTTTCCATGGGAGAGCCAGGAATTTAATTATGATGAAGGTGTATTTGATGAGCAAGGATGCCCAGCCACAGTCTAAGATGGTCTCCAGAGTGGTTTCTGTCCCTAATGATGGTTGTGTGGATCCCTGGTCTTTTCTTTAGCATCTTTTGATTAAATTATGGTGTACACAAAGTGCACAAATCTTAACCTCAATAAGTGCTTTCAGCTAGCTAATTATTGCTTATTTATTTATTTATTTATTTATTTATTTATTTATTTATTTATTGGTTTTTCTAGATAGGGGTTCACTATGTAACCCTGGTTGTCCTGGAACTCTCTCTATAGACCAGGTAGGCCCAGAACTCACAGAGATCCACCTGCCCCTGCCTCCTGAGTGCTGGGATTAAAGGTGTGCATCACCACCACCACTCAGCCTGCTTATTTATTTTTTAAAGATTTCTTTATTTCTGTTTTATGTGTATGAGTGTTTTACCTGCATGTATGTAAGTACATCATATGTGTGATGCCTACGGAGGCCACAGCAGGGCATCAGATTCCTTGGGATTGAAGTTACAGACAGTGGGTTCTCGGAACTGAACCCTGGGTCTCCTGCAAGAGCAGTAAGTGCTCTCAACTGCGGACACATCTCTCCAGCCCCCGTTTGTTTATTTTGAGACAGAGTCATGGCTTTGTAGCACAGGCTACTCTGAACCTGCTACATAGCCCAATCAGGTCTCAAACTCATGATTCCCCTCTCTCAGCCTCCCAAGGGCTGGGATTGTAGGCGTGAGCCATCTTGACCAACTATTGTTTAGCCTTATATTTATTTATCTTTAAAATTGCATTTATTTATTTGTGTGTGTGTGTGCGCGCGCGCGCGCGTGCGTGTGCATGTGTGTGCACGTAAGCATGCACATGTACACACAAACATGCCATGACATCCATTTGTAGGGCGGAGGACAACTTGAATGAGCTGGTTCTCTCCACCATGTAGGTCCAGGGGACTGAACTCAGGTCATCAGGCTTGACTGCACGTGCCTTTACCTGCTGAGTCACCTCACCAACTCTCTGGCGGAGAGATGGCTTAGCAGGTGAGGGAGCTGGCCCTCCCCATATGTGCCATGGCTCATGAATGCCCCCCCCCACTAAATAAAATTAAAATATGAAATAAGATTACTTTAGGGGCTAGTGATATGGCTCAGTTGGCAGAGTACTTGCTTGGTATGCACAAAGCCACAGGTCTGCTCTCCAGCCAGCACACAACCAAATGTGGTGGACCTGTGAACCCAGTATGTGGAAGACAGAGCCAAGAGGATCAGGAGTTCAAGGTCATTCCTGATTATGGAGTGAGTTCGAGGCCAGCCTGGGCTACATGAGACATCTTGAAACCCAAATGGTAGTGGCAACAGTTACTCCCCCAATCACTCTATTTCTCAGATGATAAAGACAGCATGCACATTGCAGAGATATGGAAATATGGAAAGAGCTATGCTTAGTAACAATCTCATTCGTGGTTTCTCTACACGGAGATACCTCCTAAATTCTGGCGGGAGATTTCCAGCATTTTTCTATGTGTCCAAGTATTGCTGATCTTCCCTCTCTTCAGATTCCACATCTGTTGATTCAACAGACTTCAGATAAAAAAGATTTGGGAAATGGGGCTGCAGAGAGGACTTAGTGGTTAAGAGCACTGGCTGCTCTTGCAGAGGACGTAGGTTATGGATTCCAGAACCTACATTGGGCATCACACACCAAAAGCCTCTCACAGCAGATCAAGGGGATTTGACACCCTCTTCTGGCCTCTGTGGGTATTGCATGAATTTGGTGCATAGACACACAAATAAAAATAATTAATTAAATATTTGGAAAAAATAGCCCTGTACTGAGCATGCAGAGGATTTTTGTCATTATTATACAAATAACACAGGATAAGAATGATTTCCAAGCTGGGCAGTGGTGGCGCACATCTTTAATCCCAGCACTTAGGAGGCAGAGACAGGTGGATCTCTGTGAGTTCAAGGCCAGCCTGGTCTACAGGGACAGTTCCAGGACAGCCAGGGCTACACAGAGAAACCCTGTCTTGAAAAAACAAAGAACAAACAATAATTTCCATAGTATTTATACTGTATTAGATACTAGCATAATCTAGATATGATTAAATGTCTATGGGAGGATGTGTGTGTAAGTTATATACAAATACTATGACATTTCGTATAAAGATCTTGATCAGTCAAGGATTGTGGAATCCCCAGAAGTCTTGGATCCAATCCCCTCTGGACACTGAAGGACTGGTGTCTGGCTAGCATCAAGTTATGATGGCGTGGTTCATATTGTCTTTATTATTTTGATTGCCAGTGTTCTTAACATATTCTTTCACAGCTTGACATTTCTTCGTAGACTTCTCTGTGACCTTGTCTCCTTTCACACTGTGGTCAGCTTGTCCTCATTGTCTGAGGGGAGGGACATATGCATCAGACAACAGTTGAAAAGAAGGTCTGACTTCTACTTAAGAGATTAAATCTAGGACGGAGAGGAAGCCCGCAATCAAGAGGTCTGCTTGAAAGGACGGTGGGATTTGAAAATGTCTCCTCAGCTTAGGGTCAGGAAACAGCCAAGTGTATGAAACTCTCTGAGGGCTGGAGGGAACAGATGTGGGAGCAAGACCAGGGCATCTGCATCCACCGTGCCCACAGGAGAGGCAATGTGGCCAGAGGCTTCAAGGCGAGTCTCACTTTGGGCCTGCAGTTCGTGCAACCCCAGGGTTCCTCCTTCCTGATGCGGCTCCTTAGCAGTGAGGGATGGTTTGTGGAGAGGGGGCATTTACAGTCCCTCTGTCCCGCTAGGAGCAGTGTTGTGTCTCTGGTCACCGCTAGCTCCCACCCATCTACAATTCAGACATTTTGCACACTCAGCGGAAGTGCTGGGTCCCACCATCTTGTCCCGTGTTCGTTCTAACCAGTATACTGCGGGCCAGTTCCGATCTCGGTTGAAAGGTGGGGGCTCTTGTGATCTCTGGCAAACAGGAGTGGAGAGCAAACTGTGGACCATGCTCCTTCCCCTACTTTGTATTTTGATCCTGTAGAGCAGTGGTTCTCAAACACTCTAATGCTTTAATCCTTTAACACAGTTCCTTGTGCTGTGACCCCCAACCATACAATTATCTGTGTTGCTACTTCACAACTGCAGTTTTGCTACATACAGCTACGAATCATAATGTAAGTATCTTGTATGCAGACGGTGCCACAACCCACAAGTTGAGAACCACTGACGTAGAGAAAAGACAGACCCAAGGGGAAATCGGGCAGAGGTCTTACCTGGAACTTGCTGTTCCGAGAAGTCTGTTAGTTCATTATCTTCATCTACAGGGTTCCTAGAAAACCCATATTCTTCAGCAGTACACAGAAGGGTTTTTACCACTGGAGATGTTCAAGTCTAAACACCTGCAAGGTAGAGACTCTCAGATGTGTGCTGGCCAACCCAGAGAGAATTCAGATAATGCATTTAAAAATAATATGTGATGTGATGGCTTTTGATTATGATCTAAAAGGTATTTAGGAAATGAGGTCGAGAAGAAGGGTGTGAGATGCAGCAAAAGGAGTCCAATCCTCCTCACTCCCTCTCCCCCATCCCCACTCCCCCACATCCCCATTCCCTCTGCCCACCCCATCGCCAATCCTCTCCTCCTTTTCTGTTTAGGAAAGGGCAGGTCTCCCAAGAGCGCCCACAAAACATGGCACATAAAGTTGCAGTAAGACTAAGCACTGCCCCATGTCTTAA